AAATACACCACAATTTCAATCCAACAACTAATAACTCTTTCCACCAATCGGATCATTGCAACTATCATATTTATATACTAGTCTTTTCTGGATCCGTTAAAAAAATATTTTTCTATCATTTTTTGGTTCCATACATTCGAGCTAGAGAGCTTGTGATTTCTGCCACCACGACCTGTGAACATACCAATTGAACATGCATGAACCAAAATTTTTTTTAAAACCATGCTATGATATTACTTTGACACGACCCGTCCCGAATGACCCTAGTGGACCCGAAACGTGACGTGCGCCGATGATAGATGCTGACTAGATGTCAGATCCACCACCAAGACTGACTATGACTTATTTCAAAAAATGCAACAAAATCAAATGTTTATGTAAAACATAATGCAATGGGCCCAAAATGTTTACTTCGTGCTTCATCAATATGAGTTATAATGTTCAACATGTCGTGTGGCTCTCATTCCAAAATCATTAGGCTCTTCCAGCTAAAAAGAATCAATTGCTACCTGTAGGAAAAATTGTGGCAAAATAAATGAATTGATAGCTCAGTGAGTGGAGATGTTCGAAAATAAATATACTTTTTCAATTTTACATTTCTATCGAAAATCAAATTCATATCATTTGATAATTCACAAGTAACATCAAGTAATTGTAACCAAATGTGAAATATTCACATAAGGTCGTAAAATATCATATCAAAATCATAATATAAACATCAACTGAAAATCATGCTATAATCTCATCAGATCAAACGAGTTGAAAAATATACCAAAAATGTACCCTCTGCCTGAAATATATAATCCGCCCCTCGAGCTAAGAACTTTCGCCACGGGCCTTTGGCCCCTCCATGAATGAAAGCCGATCTCAAAGACCTCTTATAATCAATTATAGAACACGGTCAATACCCCTCTGTAAACTATATGTACACGATCAAGACCCTCCGTATAGGATAGAATACGGCCAAGGCCCTTCTGTGAACTAGAAGAAGTATATAATCATGGGTACTTTTTTGGCCGATCTCAATATTGCATGTCTCACATACCAAACAAATTTCAATATCACATGTCTTACATAGCAAGTCGCAAATATGCCATAAATAATCTTTGATATTCTACATGTATCATAATAAAAGAGATTTCCATAATAAACATATAATTCGAATACATAATTGCACATACTTTGACAGTATACTTAATTTATAAATATTTTAAAAATATTTATATTTTTTCACTCACAGTACAATGTTCGCAAAATCAACCCGATTGGAAAATTGTTCTGATGTTTGTATCATCGCCTGAAATACGATATAATTTTTAAATAAATAATTAATTATTTTAAATAATTTCAATAATTAAATAGGCGACACCCAAACTTAATCATTTCACGTTTAAGCGATTTCCATAGTCTATTTAATCACTAAAACTAGTTTTTTTTTCATCTTACTCAATTTCATAGTTTATTATACTTAACCCCTTCAATAAAATTGAATTTAATCTAACAATCTAACAACTATAAAATCAAACATAACTTGACAATAAATAACTTTTTACTTACCTTTCAAAATTGAGGAATTCAAGCTTAATAACGTAAATCACTTATTTTCTAATAATATAGGCGAACTTTCCTATTTTTATTTTTTTTCCTCTTCTCCTTTTTTTTTTCTTCTTTCTCTCTTTTCTCTTCCTCTTTTCTCTCCCTGCTCTTGTTTGCTTGGTGTGTGTTGTGTGTGTGTTTGTGGGAGAAATGGATAGGTTTTGAACATGGGTGGATTGATATAAATCAATCCACCACCTCTCTTCTTTTTTTTTTTTTTTTTTTTTTTTTTTTTTTTTTTTTTTTTTTTCTATTTTTTTTTTTTTTTTTTTTTTTTTTTTGCTTAAGTTTTTTTTTTTTTTTTTTTTTTTTTTTTAATTTTTTTTTTTTTTTTTTTTTTTTTTTTTTTTTTTTTTAAGGTATTACAAGAATAGTTAAGGTTTTCGTTACCAACTGCAGGCCATGTACAAAATACTCGCTGAATACCACAGATCAACACAAGGTTCCAGTCGAAGGATCCTTACATTGTAAAGATAACAAGAAACGTTAGATATGAGGAATTCTTCAAAAAAGAAAAGAAACCGAAGAGTCACAAAAATAGATCGAAGGTAAAAAATTTCAGATTCTTGAAAAAACGAAGATTTCACATGCTCTGATACCACTGTTGGTCCCAGACGAGTATTTTTGTGACTCATTTGAAGGTTAAACGTAAAAGATTAAAATAAATTTCAAGAAAATAAGAACACAAAGCAATTTTCGGCCCAAAACCCTGAGGTTCAGCTAAAGCCTACTCCTCGTTGAGCATCCATTAGGATTTTGCTCGAATCCACTAGATCAACTCGAAAACCAGGCAAAGTTACAAGTACAAAATGAACACCAAGATTTCTGCCTCTCGAATATACAGATCACCCTCAAGATTACAGAATATTTCCACAAAGGAATAGATCTCTTCACCCTCTAACACACTATTATAATTTCACTTAGAAATTACACCAGATTCATCATAAAAGATGAATATTCACACAGAGAAGAAGAGCAGTCGAGGAATTAGGGTTAGGGTTCGAGAGAGTGTATGACCCCAAAAGTCAGGCTCCATTATTTATAAGAGAGGGAACAAATATACCGATCCAACAGTTCCCAATTTGCCAAGTGTCAAACATCCATCCAAGATCACATTATAAGTAAAGTCGCATTATTAGAAATGTGTTTTCTCTTAATCTCGAACCTTCAGATTACTGGATCGAATAAGTGGGCCTTGTAGAGCTAGCTGGATCATTGGACTCAAGAATTGCAGCAGTCCAATATCTTCACACATAAATAGTATTTTATTTCCAATAGAATTCCAACAAGCAGCCCTTTTTTCTCCTCCTTCAGCTCCAATGTTGTTGTCTAATCTGAAGTCAAATTCTTGGATAAAACACACACACACACACACACACAAAACGGTCCAGCCCACTTTCTTTATGTCTCTTTTCAATTGCCAGCAAATTGATTGGATTTATTCCATTTAAGTCCAAGTCCAAGTCCATGTTAAAGTTGAGGCCCATTTCAATTCCAATGCATTAATTACCTTCAAGGCTTCAATTCTTTAAAGTAATCCACTTTAATCCTTGAATTCAATTAATTGTGCAGTCCTTAAATTTCTCAAATGTAGAATTTGATCCCAAAAATTGCATTCAATAGCCAATTGATTCTTATTTCTTTTTCAATTGTTTCAAAGTGGGTCCATAACTAAAAACAAAATAAAATTAATCCAAGTTAAATAGAAATTAATACTTCGATGACATAAAGGCTTAATAATATGGTCTAAATAACCCCATCAACAAAAATATATATATATATAGAAATTTTACCAATAAGTGAGGGTTAGATAAATGTAATTTGCCCTCTTTTCGCTTTTCGTAATAGATTGTAACCACGGTCTTCCTCCACCACAAGCGAGGGTTTACCAATAAAACTAGTACATTTTGCCCAAGAATAAAAAAAATAAAAAAATACTCGTATGATTTGATATGAATTAATTTTAATATTTAGATTATAAATATAATACTTTTGGAGTTGAATTTCAATATTTTTGTTGCTAGAACCGAATGAACTCATTACTAAGAACCAAATTGGACAAGTTTTACTTGGAATCAAACAAACCAAGTAGTTTGATCCAATTATAATTAGGCACCATTTGATAGGCACCAATTTTCTTGGGAAAATGGAATTAGAATGCCAATGTCCAATTTTTGTGTGTTTGATAGTGTTTTATTTTCTATGGAAATTAAATTCTTGAATTTCTTGGGAGTTATAATTTTCTAGCTTTTGTGGTGGAAACTGATTTTCCCGGTTACTGTTGACCTTTTTTTTTTAGAGATAATGGAAACAAATTCTGAGAATTATTGTAAAAAAATAATTCCCTTTAGTTGACAATTTTCATATAAAACAAAGCCAAACGAACACTAAAAGATAGATTATTTTCTTGATTTTTTTTTTTGGGCAATGAAAACAAATTTCATCCCCAATACAGTAAATTTCATCCCTTTAATTGATAATTTTCATATAAAACAAAGCTAAACGAACATAAAAAATACTTTTATTTCAATATTTTCCACGTGAAAAATTATACCAATCAAATACAATAATTTACAATTCCCAGGAAAACAATTTCTGGGCAATTCAATTTCATGGAATTCTTTTTGTTTTTACCTAAATTTCATCTTTGCAATCAAACGGACCCTTAGTCAATTTTTTTCACATCGAAATGTCTATACCTGTTTCCACGTGATCCATTAGAATATAAAACATTATAATCAATACATGCACACATATTAGTGGCATAAAAAAAATTCCAAATCCAAATCAATACCTACTTCCACGTGATCCAAATACATGTTCAGATTGCGGAAGGAGGCAAGTGCTGTGTCTACATTTATTATTAACTTTACCCTGCATTCAAAATTGATATGAAAAGACACTGATTCATCTATTACGAGAGTCGATGCTACAAATAGTTCCTGTTTGATAGAAATTAAAAAATTACTACTACTTATACATAATAGCTCAAATACAGATGATGTGTCAAAAAGAAAGTGGAAAATGATTTTTTTTTTATTTTTTTATTTTTTTTAATTTGGTTGAAGAAATTCTGAGCCAATGATGAATGTAAGTTATTATCTAAATCATTATTTACATATCACTTTATCTTCTATTTTCTCCTAATCATATCCTAAAAAGAATATTTTTACTATAATTAAAGACTTACTGTGGCATCAGATACCTTGAAGACAAAATTTAAGTGTGAAAACACATGGAATGATCTGTTTTGCATTTTAAAAGTAATTAACACAATCAATGTGCTTGTAAAAATTTGTCGAGAATTATAGTGGTGGGATCTTTTCTTTATCTAGTTGTTTATAAAGATATTGTAGGTAATCGTAGCATTAAGGGCCACCCAAAAATCTCAGCAACCCTAAGAAACGTTTCTTCTACTTTATAAGCTCCAATGAATTATTAGTAAGAAGGATTGTATATCGGATAATCAGCGGTTGTGATGTTTCCTTTTCAACACGGTGATGAGCTGGTTTTTCAGCCCCCTTCTGTTATCAGAGAAGATCAAATCCAGGAAGATCTGAATACGGATAATACTTTACAGTATAATAATCCTAGTTCTAGCAGTTGGGAAAAGGAGCTACAGAGATCATTAGGTATTCAAGAAAATAATGGTGGAAGCACTTTTTACGAATCTAATATTAAGAAACTTATACATAGAGATATTGAACGGCAGAGAAGAAAAGAAATGGCTAATCGTTATGCTTCTCTTCGATCACTTGTTCCTCCTGAACATCTGAAGGTAAATTCATTATTTTTAATGGTACTTCTTCTTTTTTTCTCTGTTGCCCTTAATATGTACTTTGCAGAACATTAACATCTGGATTACGGGGGAAAAACGCTCGTTTTGTTGATATTGAATGTTTTTTCAGTAAAGATACCTGTAACATTTTATTCATGGTGTTTTAGGGCAAGAAGTCGTTATCAGATCTTATAGAAGTGGCTGTAAATTACATAACAGATACCAAAAAGAATATCAAGAAACTAGGTTTGCAGAGAGACAAGCTAAAGTTGTTGTCTAATTCAGGCAATCTCAGTGCCAATGTTGGCAGTTCCTCTAGTTATTCGCCTGATTTAGTCACAGTGAACCCTTTCTCCGATGGTGTGGAAATTCTAATCAGCAGCTTCAAAGAGGAAGGGTTCCCCCTCTCCAAAGTGCTTGTAGAATTACTAGAGAGAGGGCTTATTGTTGTTAGTTGTTCTTCTGTGAAAGAGAATGAAAGTTCACTCCATATAATTCAGTGTGAGGTACTGATACAATCGTATGAGTGATTGATTCAGGGTTTCATTTATCATACGTTTTGCTCACAATTTCTTACTCATCATATTTGCAGGCCAGTGGTCTCAAATGCAATGTTCTTGCTACGCTGCAAAAAAGACTGACAGATGTGATTAACCTAGGTTGCAAGAACTCTTAGGTAAGTGTGTGCAGAACGCGAACTTTGGATACATGTTTGTGTCATTCTGTGTACTTAAAATTTCTAGTAGGTAAATGGATATAATTTAATGGATGTCCACGTACTTTGCCAGTTTCGAGTGTGCTAATGTAAAATCAGTTGAAAATTCTGTAGTGTCCAAGGTTTTATTTTCTATCTGCTCATTGGTTCATGCTCCTCCCAACGAGGGCATATTTCTCCGTAGATAAATTTGTTATGATCTGAAATGAAAGTGTTGTTTGATTTGATTAAATTGTCTTTACAAACCAAATGCAGAAGTTTGTGACTTAGTCAGCAGATACAGCTCTTAAGGATTTCTCATTCTTGTGTTAGTATATCAGTATAACCTTTGTTGGAACTCTTGACCAATTTATTTGTGCATTCCCCTAGATTAACACTATAATTTAGTGAAAAACTCTAGAATGAAAGAAAAATCACAGGCCATAAAAGATGGACTATGTTACAAAATGCACAATACTTCTCACACACCCAAAAATATTATTTTTTTTTCTCCCCTATCGTTGGATCGATAATCAAAATTTTTATGCACTTTTTCCTAGCACTCCCTTATATAACTCTATTTAACCACTCTTTAATTTTTAATCGACGCGAGAAACTAATTCCCTTAATAAAGGGAACAGACTACATAAGGAACTAGAAGTTCTTACCATGAAGAGGAAAAAACCCTAACTCTCTTATATATTTTCTTCTTTTTGTTTATAATTATTTTAATCAACTTGAAAATATTTGAAGAAGAATAACAATTTTTGTGTTATATGAATCCTTTGTTTGACCTGCAAGGTGATCAATATTTTATGAATTTGCACTTGCATTAAATTCTCTTGTAACTTTGACGAATCCCTACGGGGGTGGGTTTATGAAACAGAAATATATTTCCATGCCAATATTTCATTGCCTTGAATTTATTAATCTTTATATCAATTTATATTCAAGATAATGAGAAACAAAGAAGGATTTAGGAAGACAATTTCCAACGGTTACTGGATCTTATTTGTTATCCACTTTATCTTGCAGCTAATATTGTGATTTAAAAAATTCCCGTGAGAGGCTCTACATGCATAACATTTTCTACATGTATAACATTTAGGAAAAAATATCCAACGGCCATTTTTTGATGGAAGAATACATTTACTAAGGTTCATGTTGCAGTTTTCTCGTGCAGAATGATAATCAATTACAATGTGTTAAATACCAGCATGGATGATCGGCGGATTGAAAGTATTGTGAAGTAATCACTAAAGTTGTGAACACAAATGCAAACATCCTGAAGAAGAAAGGTGAGCCATGCAAGTTGTGGTTGAAGCAAGGGAACTAGGGGATATTTAGCTTGGGGCAGCTTCTCCACACTAACTTTCAAAATGTTGTCCCATTTAAGATAATTTTGGATTTTATAATTTTGTCCATGACATCTGGTAAATATTCTAATTCACACCATGATCTTCTTCCAATAAAATATCAAGAAAATTAAAAATAATAATAATAATAATAACAACGCGAACATGAACAGGGACACAACAATACATGTGAAAAAATGTAGAAAATCATGGACAATAAAAGAAATTTCACTATGTGAAAAAATTGTTATAATCACATAGTAATTATCTCACACTCCAAATTCTCAAGTTCATCCCAAAATATTAATATTGGTTAGACTATATAGAATCCTCAAGTATCACCCAAAACATTCTATGAATATTTGCGAACTCGAGACTAAGGCGAAACTAAGGGAAAGTTTACATTTATAAGGAAACAAAAGAAGTGAATTCTTAGTTTCTATTCAATATGCGGGATAATCACATTACAATAAATAAACTAAATACCGCATGACAAATACAAATCATATTTTAATTGGATAATACCCGGTCAATTCCAAACATTCCCCACACTTAAATTTCTGTATATAGAAATGTTAAGTTATCATTTGTAAACCTACCAAAGTTAACATATAAGCAGTGGCCGCGTAAGACATTCTTTATTGTGGGAAAATTAATTGAGTTGCAAAAAGAAAAAAAAAAATCCGAACAATTTTTTCTGTAGCACTCATTTCAATAATATTTTGCTCTTCACTCAAAAATTAAGATTTTCGTTTACAGTGGATAAGTCGTTGATGCTGATGGAGACGAGCTAAGTAGAAAAAGAGAATTATTTGATTTAAATTGCAAATTTAGATTACGAGGGAAGAATGAGATTAATGACTTGAAAGAAATTAGGAAACATGATGGAAAAAACTTGTGTAAATAAGAAAAAAACAGAATTTAGAAATTTTAGTGGGGTCAACTGACCCCACATACTACAATGTAAATCCTCCCCTGCATATAGTTTTTCTAATCGAACTAATTACATGAACAAATAGAATCCAATAAAAAGATCATGGACCTCCACTGGTGAGGGGAACTGTACACTTGGGTGTCAATCCTGATGTACATTTAGCAATACCATATAAAAATTATATGAATGATCTAAAAGATAGAACGTGTTATGTGTCGTATGAAAGCTAGTGCAGTTATTTTGCCTCATTTGGAATTTTATAATCAAAATGCATCCAATCATGGTCATAGGAATTTCTTCCCTTGTGCTCTTGTCCTATCTCATTGAATTTTTTTCATGTTTCGAGAGATTATAGTGTGCAATGTGTTTATTATATTTATGGTTTTTTTTTTTTTTGGCTAATTTGGTAAGCTATTTTTTTGGGTAATAATGTCAGGGTCATTCTGCTTGTAGAGCTATACAAGCTTACAACCTATGAGGGGACCCCACGCTAATCCTGGGTCCCCCTCATGTACGAGGATTGTCGTTCTTGCTGTACAGCACAGACCTTAATGTCATGACAACTAGCTGAGAGAAGATTTCTCAATATTTATATTGTATAATGTTGTTTTGCCTGATATTTTAACACCTTGGATTAAATAAAGTTTGTAACAAAAATTTGATTGGGTGGAAATGTTGATTGTTTTTAAAATAATTCAATGACTGAATGTCATGTCACATTCTATCTTCTGATGTTAAGTCATCTGAAAGCCAAGCAGAACTGATTTATATTAGAGTAATTGTATTCACGTAACAATTATGGTTAAGCCCCTGTTTGATGGTCATTGTAAAGAGAAATTGAGTGAAAATTATGTTTTAAATAGTAATTTTTTGGAGAATGTGCGATAAAAAATTAGAGAAAATTTTTAAATTTAAGTACAGAAGAATTTACTAATATGAATGTATTGTTGAAAATGAATCTGAGAAATAAATAGCTTCGAAATCAAACCAGGGCGAAGTAGACTACATTTAATTGCAATGAATTTCCTCATTTCTTGCTTACCTTGGCACTAGTTTTCCAACTTTTTTCATCACATTTTGTCTTTGACCTTCAATTAATTGATAACTCTCGTCTATAGTGATGGTTTCTTTCCAAATATTTCATTAACGTGAAAAATATTTTGTCAAACTTTGTATTTGTTGTTTGTTTTAATTTTTTAAAAATATAAGTGATAAATAAGTTTTTTTTTTTACTCTATCCTAACAAATTTTAGTCTCTCATCAGAAATAAGATATACAAATTAATAGAGGTTGGAGATAAAAATATAATTTATATATATTACTGAAATAAAAACTATAATGCAGCCAACATAAAGTGGAGTTAATTGTTCCAATGGTCGCTAAACCTAGGTCCATGTCTTTGATTGACGACTAAATTTTAAAATGTTGAGTTTTGGCCACCGAACTTTGAAAAATGTTGAGTTTTGGTCATCAAATGTAAATCCATGTTTTTGATTGGTCACTGAAATTTAAAATGTTAAATTTTGATTACTGAACTTAGGTTAATGTTTTCGATTGCTTACTGAAATTAGGTCCATATCTTAGATTACTCACTAAAATTTAAAATGTCGAGTTTTGGCCACTAAACTTTGGAATATACCATAGGTTACTCACTAGTATAAATGTTAAACTTTGAAAAATATCAAGTTTACAGTGAATAATGTACAATATTTTTCAAAATTCAGTGAGTAATGTACAACATTTTTCAAAATTCAGTGATCAAAACTCGATATTTTAAATTTCAGTGAACAATGGAAGACCTGGACCTAATTTCAGTGACCAAAACTCGACATTTTTCAAAGTTCAGTGGCCAAAACTCAACATTTTAAATTTTAATGGCCAATCAAAGACAATGATTTAAGTTCAGTGACTAAAATTCGACATTTTAAAGTTCAGTGGCGAATCAAAGACATAAACTTAAATTCAGTGACCATTGAAACAATTAACTCCATAAAGTGTGGTGGAAATATACTTTATATTTTACTTTTTTTGCCTTCATAACCCAAAATTCATGATTCCGCCCTAAAAGGAACAATACTTGGATTAAGCACCAGAGTATGACATGGTTGGCTATCAGGCTATAGCTTGACACGAAATTTCTTTTTGAAAATTGCACCGATTTCAAATTGTCAATTTAATTGTTACACTAAAAATGGAATAACAAGGGAATTTGATAGCATAATAAGGCGTCTCACATATTTGAAAAACACATTTATTTGCATTCACTAGTTTAATTAATAATTTAGGGATTAGTTAGAAAAATCAAAACAACTTGTTTGCTATTTGATTCAAGTTGTAATTAATTTTAACTTGTTCAAATACATAATCATCGTGGATTCGACACTATTCACTACTTTATTATTTATTTGCTATCTCATCCACTTGCGAAAAATCAAACGACCACCTATCTAGTTGTGACCAGTGACCTGAGAACTGTAATCAAATATATGTTTATGACTAAGAGCTATAACCAGATATACATCTTGTTGTGAACGTATTACCAATGCAGAATGTAACCTATTACCTGTGCTCAGACTAATGACATATGACATGTAACCAATGACCAAGAGCTTTAATCAAATATATGTGTAGTCGTGACCTGGCTTTATCAATCACAATTTTTCAAATTAATTGATCATGATTTATTTCTCAATCATAAATAACAAATTTTATAGGTCATGGCTTATTTCATGGTCACAAATTGGTCATAAGTTATTTCTCAATCACAATTTATTTCTCGATCACAAACCATAAATTTAGTAGATTACAATTTATTTCACAGTCACAAATTATCAAATTAATTGGTTACAACTTATTTTTCGATCACGAAAATATAAATTGTCATAATTACAAATTTTCTCACAAA